ACCTTCCTGAGTCCAACAGTGTCTTCTTAGCAAAACATTTCACTGACATAGAATCAATTTGCATGCAGCAAGTCGTCTCCTCACAGATAATCTAACCTGGAAATGTTAAAGATTCACTTAAGTTGCAATGGGAAAAATATGTTGGTGTTGGTAAACCTTAACTGAATGTCCTCTGGGAAATGTTTTAAATCTGAGTGTTGAGATCCTCAGAGCCACCACGTGGTTCTGCCTGTGCGTGGCTCTAGTTCAGGGCGTCATGTCAAGTCGATCCAATTAACTTGTGGTTTCCAGTTTATGCACGACGACGCAGGACGACGTCGCTTCGGTAACGAACCCTGACTACGTCCACGCGTAAAGCCGTTTCAAATACTAGAAACGCATCCGTATACGAAGTCAGTTCTGTCGAAGTCTGTTAAGCTGGTTTATTTGTGACGTAGATGTGCCAAAGGCTCAGTGTTATATTCACTTTATGTTGAGGCAGAAACACATCTAACAGCAGCAGGAATCTGGCCTGTAGACGCTGCGCACTTCTCTTTTTTTATTACAAATGTTTGACTTTCAACATGTTGCCTCCTGTTTTGCTCCACCACACCGGATTTAAAGCATGTGCAAGGGCAGCGCTCGGTTATATAACATATGCGAAGCATCGATTCACAGTTTTTTTCTACTTTTTTTTTTTTTTTTTCATGATTGAGTCATTCAAGGAACTAAATAAACGTAGCATTTTAGTGTGATTCTAAAAATGACATTTCGGCGTCATGTTTTGGTCCATGCAGCTTTCTGTTGCATCTCTCCATGTTGAAACACTCAGAAAGCACCTAGTTGTAGTCAAAGGCTGCATTAAAGGGCCGTCCTGTATTTTTTTTTTTTTTTTTTTTACAATACACGAAAGTTGCAATGTTTATATCTGATTTTGTTACTTTCTTGTTATTCCTCGTTTCCTTTTAAGTTTTAATTTATTGAAGAATCACCCAGATTCAGGTCTGATGGGGCCACCGAGGCCCCTGAATCAATCACACGAGTGAAGTTTGTGCGTTTTTGCCCTTTTTGTGTTCGAACCCACCAGGGAGCGGATGAAGCTGCCCTACATGGCCGAGCAGTTTGATCAGATGCTGAAGATTTCCAGCGAGTTCGTCCGGCTGCAGGTTTCCCACGAGGAGTACCTGTGCATGAAGGTCCTGCTGCTGCTCAGCACAGGTCAGACTTTTTCGCTGATAATAAATGCAAACAATAATACAGAGTACACTTAGCATTTAATACCCTTTTTAACACTTGGAAATCGTAGGAGCACACACTTCAGCACGTTTAATTTTTCGTCATGAAACAAGCACAACGTCATGTAAAATTGCGATGAAAAAATAGTTTTTAATTTTTTTATTTTTTGATTCAACATAAATTACGTCAATACAGTCCTTCAGTTTTCTGACTAGGAAAGGTTTCGTCTCTCTTTTTAACTTGTCTCGTCTAGTAAAACTGGAACTGCACCAAAGTGGTTTGATTTGAATATTTTCCTGCGTCAGGCGTTGACCTTGAGTGTTCCCCTCTCCCCGCAGTGCCCAAGGACGGCCTGAAGAGCCAGGCGGTGTTCGACGAGATCCGCATGTCGTACATCAAAGAGCTGGGAAAAGCCATAGTGAAGCGCGAGGAGAACTCCAGCCAGAACTGGCAGCGTTTCTACCAGCTCACCAAGTTGTTGGACTCCATGCACGAGGTACGGCATGCAACACACACACACACACACACACACACACAGAATATTTGGATTTGCATCAGCTGTAGAGAAAATCAAGCGAGTGCTGTTTGATGACAGAGATTTTACCCCTGAGTCAGCCATTTTTATTTATTCAGCCTTTGCTCAAGGTCGGAAAAGCTTTCTAAAATCATTTTTAGTAAATAATTTATGGGTTTTAGGAAGAAATTACTGCTCTCACTGGCAGATTATTTCACTTATATCGTGACATGGAAGGATCTTCCAGTGGAAGTAGCACATCGATATTGGGGAATATTGACTTTAAACAATCTCCTTTATGTTTTAGGCTTCCTTCCAAAATGGCTGCAAAAAGGGATTGAGAGGAAAACTTAAAGAAGTAATGACTGAACAGGTTGAAGGTTTACCCAGTACAACTATTAATATCATATTATCTTTTTTTTTTTATGCTACAACAATCAATTTTAATGTTTTTTAATTTAAATGATCTATTTTTATTTTTAGGAATTAACAATTGGGTGAATTACGTTTGCAAATTGAGGCGCTTGATTTTATTTGGGGATATCAGAGCAAAAAAACGAATTTTATTTGTAATATACGATATTAGAAACCATTTATATTTTCTTTCTCACCACGACAATGCACTACTTTGTGTTGCTCTCTTACCTAAAATCCCAGAAAATACACTGAGGTTTGCGACTTTAGCACGACAAAACGTTGAAAGCAGTTTGCAGCGCGTGTGCAAAGCGTGCGTCCAGTGTGACCCGCGATTGGTTGACGGCCTCTTGTCATGTGTCCACAGATGGGCAGCGGACTGCTCAGCTTCTGCTTCTACACCTTCGTGAATAAATTCCTGAGCGTGGAGTTCCCCGAGATGCTGGCCGAGATCATCAGCAATCAGCTACCAAAATTCAAGGCCGGAAGCGTCAAACCTCTCCTCTTCCACCAGAAGTGACTGTTTCCTGTAGCAGCAACAATGCCTTAAACTCCCACCACGTCACCTCACCAGCCTGACAAAACCCCCCCGCCCCTTCGCCCCCCCCCCACCCCCACCCCTCCGCTGGACAAGAGCAACAAACGGAAAGGACTTTACACCAGTAGGGAGCGGTGTTTTCTAGCAGCAAGTGTGCATCTCTGTGCTGATGGGTCTGGTGGGGTGGGGGGGCTGGGGGGGCGGGGCCGCGGGAGAAGCAATGTGTGTGTGTGTAGGAACCAGACCTCGAGCACAAGACGTTTCGCTGTGTTGAGTAGGCTAAGATGTAGTGTCTAATAACGAATAGGAAAAGTTTGTGAAGCTAACGGCAAAGAGAAATAGGCTAACATTCATGTTGTCTCAGGTGTCTTACCTTGAAATTCAGAGCGATATCTGAAATAGAAACAACAAAATATCTATGTAAAGGTTCTGATAGTATTTTCTACATTTTCAAAGTAACAGTTTATACACTTTTCCAGGTCACCGCTGCCCAAGGAGGCAGCAAATCGGAATAACGCGCTCTTATTACGTAGGCTTTTTGTGTTCCACTTTTAGTTTTTATAGGAGGTTGTAACGAAAACGTTTTTTTCAGTCGCACAGATACAACGACGACAACGAAAAAAACAAAACAAAACAAAAAAAACAAAACAGTTTTCTAGTGATTTTTTTCAAAAGCATATTTTATTTGCTTTGATTATAACATATAAAGTTGTGTGGGCCTGTTAGCCAATGGAGTCCTCCCACAAGCAGACCTCTTCCAGGTTTACATGTCAACTACAAAAAGGGAAAAAGATGTGCCTTTTTTGCTTCGAATATCATCTAAGCCATGTTTTTTTCCTGCTATACGTGAACCTCTCATCATCTACCTTCATTATAAGTTGATTGTACTTTTTTATATATTACACGCAGTTGCAGCTTTTCTCTTTTTCTAGTGGCTGTTTATCTTTACAAATGGCAGCTCGCTCCACCCTCTGTGCGTAGAAGTGTCGTCGTTCTCGCTAAGAAATGAAATTTAGCCTGCTTCCCTTCCCCGCGGTCCCGACGCGCACTGGCGCCGTCGGTGCGACGCGAGCGAAAGGCTTTAAAAAGACTGTGAAGATGTGAAGATGGGCTCGGTGTTGTATATCGGTCTTTCGAGAAAGACTTTAAAGATGTGGAAAAGTGTGGACTTTTTTTTAATCTTGCCCCCCCCTGCTCCCCCCGGTAGTCTAATCTTTAGAAAAATATGTGATGGATACGAGCGTTTCTCAATCACAAGTGGAAGGGCATGTGTTGTTGTGCTTGCAAGCTTGTCGTTTTTGATATTCGGAAATACTAATATCTGTAGATTTATTACTGCTGAAAGCGATTAGAAAATAACCGTCCTCCACACTTTCTTGTTTTTTTTTTTTTTAATCAATCGTTTTGGTATAAATAGTCGTAATTCCTCTGAAGACTTCTGCAGTACAAACTTTGCTCTTTGTAAGAATTGGCTAAGGGGTACCTTTTATTCTTGAAACTGCATACCTTTCATTTTCTTTAAGGAATAGTTTAATTTTTTGGGGGGGAAAACAGTTTTTTTTTGCAAAGATGTAGATTGGTACTACTGTCATGTCTCTGCTACAAGCCCAAGTTAAGAACGTGAAAAAGTGAACTCCGTCTGAAAGACAGAAAGCTCTTACCTCTGGTATCGACCGTCTCTTTACTGAGATGAGACGTCTGGTTTCCACCGGCTGATCGTCCTTCTCTGTCTGGCACAATAACAGGCTAGAGAGCTACTCATTGTAAATAAAAAAAAATCACATTAATATTCAGAGATTGATATAATCAATTAATACTCAAGCTGTCATTATGCCTGATTTGATATAGTTATATAAATAAGTCGCGTTTTTGTTGTCGAGAAAATTCTAAATTAAGCACTGCACTTATAATAAAATGTGAATTTGAATGCGATGCAGGTATAATGACAATTTGGAATCAAAGTAATCGATAAACCTTCCCAGTCACAGGTGTGCAGATTATTGTACCGCTAAACGTTGCTTTGAAATTTTAAAAGAGGTTTTCTGTGCCATCCGTTCTGGTGTTTCATCGATCGCAGCGAATACAAAACACCGTAAAGTCTCAAAGACTCCGAGCAGCATGTAGGGCTTCCAGTACCGTACGGCGTCTGCGTCAAATATACATCCAGAAATCCGCGCTGCTGTAGAGACATGATATGTATTAACCTCAGGTCTTAGCAAGAAGACAAATACGACGGTTTCCCCCCGGAAATCAATGTAATCCTTCTCAACAGAATAAGTAACGGCTTTATGAATAAAACAGCACTTTTGTTCAGGCGTTTGGTCGATCACGTGAACCTCCCACAGATGCTGACGACCGGTAAATAGCCCCCTGTGCTCCCTCTGCAGCCCGACTTCACCTAAAGTTTGCGTGTATGTATGCCGCACCCTTTGCATGTGTTCTGACTGTCTGCTACGTAGCCGTGCCCCGACGCCCCGCCTCCCTTTCCCCCCGCTGCGTTTTTTTTTATTTATTTATTTTTTTATCAGTTACCACATCGCAGTGAAAAAGAGTCCCATTACTGACTGCGGAGGCAGGCAGAGCTGATTCTTTTTATTCTCTGGGAACTTTTTTTTTTTTTTTTTTTTTTTGTTTTTTTTTCCTGTGCCAAACTCCTGTTTTTGTCTATTTTCAGGGATGCTAAAAGTCGGTCAGTATTTTTTATTGTTTTTTCTTTTTCTTTTTTTTTAATTCTCAGACAAATCCAAGCATTAAAGCGTAAAAATACTTCACCTGGTGAAAGGAGTAAGAAGTCCAGAGCTGCCTGACCTTCAGTCCCATGCAGTAAAGGGGGGGGGAGTGTCTGTCGGTGTTTCTGATTGATGCGTTGCAACATCTCTCTTCTAATCTGCGCAGCTTGTCGTTTGTGTGTCTCCTGACTCCCGATCTGTCTTTTACTTTAAGATTTTTACTATGAATGTGATATTTAAAGAGTTATTAATAAATTAGATATGAACTGTTATCTGTAGATGATATGTCGTGAGCTGTCAGAAAGAAACAAAATATGTCAAGTGAACTGCTCACTTTTATATATATAGACATACATATAAATATATATATATAGATATAAAACATGGCAAAGCGAACTGTTTTTCAATGTTTATCCCAAATACATAAAAAAAGCAACCTATATATGTTCTACTCTGCTCCAGAGCTCAGGTTTTTAAAAACAGATGATCTGATTCACACTTGCGTTGATGTCCACCTTCTGCTCCGTCGTGAAGAACCAAAAGCATCCGACAGCTTCACGCACGTGTGGCTACTTCTGTGTTTTTTTTTTTTTTGTTTTTTGACGTTTTATTGTTAAAAATTCAGTTGACAGATGTGAAAAGTTGTAAGGAATCTGCCTCCGCCGCTCATACCGTCTGTAGACTCTAACAAAACTTTCTGTTTTCCTCTGAGGTTTAACCAGAATAGATGAAAATCATCCTTGCTACCTACCTGTTTGAGGGTTACTTTCACATTCAGTGTATCCAAAACTCTGCTGCTGCTCCTCATCTTTACAAGTATATATATATATAGAGAGAGAGAGAAAGAAAGAGATAGATATATGTATATACACACACACATATATATATATATATATATATATATAAGAAATCGCACACTTGCCTCATCTTGCCCAGAAATGTAGCCTGTTTACATTTTTGCGCACAACTGAATATGCAATAGAAAAGACGGATAATCTTATCACCTTCACCTTTGTTTTTTTTTGTTTTCCATCCTTTTTAAACACAGTATAAGCTACTTTCATACAGGGGATCTCACTTCTAACTTTTATCTCTGCAGGCCAGATTTTCTGTTTTGGGGGAAAATATTCAGGAAATTGTAATCACTCACACAAACGACCTATTTAATGTTTGAGTACAAGGTGACCAAAGGCGACAGATTACACATAATGTCAGTGTAAACTCCAGAGCTCTGAGATGACAAATGTACAGCTCTCTTCAGCGGGTCTCACAACCCCTTTTTTTTTTTTCTTTCTTTTTTTTTTTTAAACAAGTCTTTGGTCAAATTGTGTGATACTGTGAATAGGATAGGACTTGGGCTTTTTTCATACACAAACTGTTTGTGAAAGTAATCAACCAGCTTGAATCTAAGAACTTGCACTACCCAAATATTGTTTGAAAGTCTATTTTGTATAAAACATATGCAGACAGAAACTATGAGACTAACAAAGGGCGGATCACGTTTCACTGGTGTATGTTTTCTCAGAAAAAAAAAGAGTTTTTTTTTTTTTGTTTGTTTGTTTTGCCTAAAACAAGTTTAATATGTACATATAATCCATTGTAAAGAACATGTGGTGTATTTGTCTTCAGATGGTTTTTTCAGTACCTGCCCCTCTGTATTATTTCTCCTCTGTAGCGTGACTCTTGTTGATCTTTCTCCTCCATCGATTAAAGGTCAAACCGTACGTGTTTGTGTGGTACTTCTCCAGTAAAAACGTCTGTATGCTGACATCAGCCCCGTTTTGAACATTGGACATGGTAAGGTCGTTGTAAGCCCCACCTCACCCCCTTTTTTTTTTTTGTTTGTTTTGGTAACAACACTTGTTCATCCAATAAATTTTTTTTTTCTCCATCTGACACCTGGTTTATTTACTGTTGAGATGCCCTGAGAATGAACCTCGGCACTGTTAAAGATGCAAAGCAGAAGCACTTTAAAGGCGCTCGCACCTGACGAGGGAGAGCCGGCGAGAATCTCATCCGATTTTACATAAACTACCAGCTGATCGGCGGAATACATCGGCATCATGTTTTACCGAACGTCTTTGATGAAGAAAGTATCCTTCAGGTGAGAAAAACAGCACAATTTTGCCATGTGAACCACAGAATTAAATGTACTTCTTTAGCTTTCAGACTGAAATTAAGCAGTGGGTTATTGCAAAGTGGAAGGAAAACAATTCATGAATTTCCAACAAAGAATGTGAAAAGTTTGGCATTCCTTTGTTTATTAATCCTCTTTTAAATAACAATAATAATAAAGAACGGCAAATATATTTGTCCAACTGATCCCGTTTTAGGTAATTTAATAAGGGTGTTCTGTGATCACCATGCGTGACATCCCTGCTGTGAAATGTGGTGGCAGCATCATGCTCTGGGGAGGTCACAGTTCGTGCGACGACGGTGGAGCTGTGAGACCTGGACTGGGGAGGAGATTCCCCCGTTCCAGCGGGACAGGAGCCCCGAAATGTCAGAGATATGATCCACACAGGCTTAGATCCAAGGATTTTCCACTGTTAGAATGATCAAATTCCACCTGCATTACTTTTGAGAGTCCTTTGAAAAGACGGCTGCTTTAGTGGTGGGAACATACGACTGACAAACCTGTTTTGTCATCAGCAATTTTATTTGAATAGCACACTCAGCAGCTAAACATAGTTGTGAAAGTAAAGAATAAACCTTACACTGAATTGGCAAAATAAAGAGAAGTAACGAAAGAAACCAATGTCCTTTGAAACTCACTGATTCTAATGAAAACATCTGCTGCTGGCATATTTAACATCCAGCCAATAGAATAATATGAAACTGTCTTTTACTGCTGTAGAACGTTATATCGAAATAAAACTGGAGCATTAAAATGCAACATGTTTACACAGGCGCTACAGTTATGAACCGTTTTAGGGAGTTTTAATCCCAGCTGATTCATGACGGAAGGTGCAGGTCGAGGCAGGAATCGGGAGCGCGCCTCGCTCGTTCTCGACGACACAAACAGTAGACCACCGCCGGACACAGATCATCACACCCCCCCCCCCCCCCCCCCCCCCCCCTCCTGTGACCCACCTGCTGAGCCCCCCGCTGTCCCCTGAGGATGATGGCGGATGAAGACGCGGTCGCGGCCGAAGAGCGAGCTTGTGACGGCGGCCCCACGCTGCGCGACTACCGGCGGCCGACGCGGCTGTACTGCATGAACGGCGGATACCACCTCCAGATCCTGGCCGATGGGACGGTGCGGGGCGAGCGGGATGAGCGGGATGATCACAGTGAGTGAGGCTGCTGCTGCTGCCGCAGCACACTGCGCATTTTCCATTCAGGTCAGGCCTGCAGCATGATGCCTTCGCTTCCGCCGGTGGAGCATCAAACTGCAGCACGGCCCACAAACCAGGGAAGCTCGGAAATGATTGTGATCTTCTCTAAAATCGCAAGCACACAGCTTCAGGGAGGCCTTGTGGTTTTGTTCAGAGGTGGATGCAGTACCCCCCCCCCCCAAAAAAAAAAAAAAAAAAAAAAAAAAAAAAAATT